GCATCAACAACTTCCAGTCAGTCCACCAAGCCCTGAAATGGGGTTAGGAGTGGTGTTGGAAAGCTTGGGCTGTTTTGTTTTTTTTTTTTTTTTTCAGGGAAGAGGAGAGATGGGGACGTGGTGGGTCAGGCGATGTGGGGCGGCAGGCAGGGCGATGCTGGGGTTTGGCGGGGGGGGGGGGGGGGGGGGGGTTACTGGGAGCACTAGGATGGCACTGGGAGGGCTCTAGGGTTGTTCCAGGGAGTGCTCTGCTCCAAACCAAAGAGAAAAGATCCCTGCCCTCCTCCCGCTCGCTGGGGGCTGACGCTGGGCTAAGTGCTTTGCTGGGGTGGGAAAGGGGTGGGAGAATGAGATTGAGGACCTGGGGAGGTCCCAGCATCATCTGAAAGTCATGGCCTAGGCGAGATGCCTGCTTGCTGGCAGGAGGAGGGGTGCGGGTGCTTGCTGTGATGGATATGGGGTCCCAGCTGCCACGGAGGAGTGCGTGGCACTGCAGGGGTGCAGCCAGGGCAGGTGGGACATGGAGGCTTGCTGAGAGCCCACTCGGCTCCTCTGTTCCCCCAGAGCTCCTGCTTTCGCTGCTTGTCCTGGCAAACCCAGCTGGAACCACAGTCAGCTTTGCTCCGGTGGCAGCCAGGGAAGGTGACAGCCAGGGCTGACAGGTCAACCCACACCTGCAGCATCCCTGTGCGGCAGGGACAGGGCAGCCCTGCAGGATTTTGCAGAGGGAGGTGATGGTTGGGACGTGTGGTTGGTCCATGGGAGAGGATGCAGGGCGCCTGGCACAGCACAAATAATGCCCTTGCTGCTGCTGCCTGCTCCCCGGGGTGGCTGCTTTTGTGCCAGGTAATCCCCTAAAATGAGAAATTCCTCCAGGTCCCATCACTGTGCTGCCTGATGTCTGATGGTGCCTCTTTCCAGCTTTCTTTTTTTTTTGACCTGTAAATTATAGACATGCAAAATTAAGCTTTCACGGCAGAAAGGAGGCATCCCGGGGCAGGACCCGGGTTTACCACAGGTTGGACCCCTCGGTGTTGCAAGCTGGGTGCTGCCGTGTGCCCAGAGTTTGCACGAGCTGAAAACCCATGGCAGTTTTGTTCAGTGATGTCTGTGTTTTTTCCCAGGTTTTCCCCCAAACCCCTGCGATGTCTTTAGTGCTCTCCCCATTGATATTTGCTGAGACGTGCCTCCAATCTGCATGTAACTGATGTAGTAAAAATAAATAATAGAAAGAAAACATAATAATTTCTGAATTAACTTTGGGTTTCACATGGTGTTTCTCAACAAAATTCAGTCCCTGCCCTGGAGACAGTTGAAATAGAAAATGATGGTAGACAGTGGGAACTGAGGTGCAGCCCGGTGGCCCCAAGCTTTGGGGCAGAGCCTGGCTGTGCTGGCGCGTTCAGCGTTTGCTGTCCCCCTTCCCTGGGGTGGCGGGCGCTGCCGGTCCCCGCTAATGGAACTGCTCTGCTCTTGCCCTTGTAGTTGGTGACAAGGTGCCGGCAGACATCCGGATCATCGAAATCCGGTCCACCACCCTGCGGGTCGACCAGTCCATCCTCACAGGTGCGTGCAGGCGTGCTGGGGCAGAGCTTTCCCTCTGCTATCGGCCCCAAGTCAGATTTTGGGGCTGACACTGGGCTAAGTGCTTTGCCGGGGTGGGAAATGGGCGGGAGAATGAGATTGAGGACCTGGGGAGGTCCCAGCGTCATCTGAAAGTCATGGTGAGATGTGCCCTGTGCTTGGGCATCCCTCCTGCAAAGCACAAAGCTTGGGGCTTTCAGGGGGGTTTCACGAGGGGCTCTCAGTCCCTCCCCATGCTCCCTCCCTGTGGCCAACGCACAATGACCTCACTTGAGGGAGAGGTGATGATATCTGGGGCTTTTTTTTAAAACGCTGGAAAAGCCCTTAAGGCTGATAATCTATGGTATTTCCAAAATTCTCCCTCTCTGCTGTCAGGGAAGCTGACAAAAAGGGCTTCTGGTATGTCAGCTGTTGTGTGTGATTTTGTAAAGGCATCGAGTTAGGAGATGGCAGCAGGGAAGGAAAAGTGATCAGAAAAAATGTTAAAAACACAGGGAAAGGAAGGAGCCCAGTCCCCTTGCAAAGTGGCTTTGCATTCATTGAGTTCTCCAAGGGCAAAAGGAGATGCAGCAAAAGGGCAAATCTACAAAGATCAAAATATAAACCTGCAGCAGAAGGGCTCTGGCCACCTTTCCTGTTGTGCTGCCCTACAATCCCCACCTGACCGTGACCCCACCAAACCCATGCTGCGGGCCAGTGGGCTCTGTGGCATGGGGGTTTGGCCCCGTCCCGGTGGGGTGTAGGGGGGCTCATGGCCACTAGCCATCTGCACAGGTCATTTTTCTGCAGCCCTCATCTTCAGAACGCCTTGGCCCAGCTCTGACATCCTCACGAGGGATGTTTTGATGGTTTGGTGGCCAAGGGCTGCTATAGGAAGCCGGGGGGTTGTGATGAAGGCTCACAATGGCATTGAGTGGAGGCTGGAGAGGAAACGTGTGTGGTTCATCTTCTGCAGGGGAGTCTGTGTCGGTGATCAAACACGCTGACCCCATCCCCGACCCCCGGGCTGTCAACCAGGACAAGAAGAACATGCTTTTCTCCGTAAGTCGCTCGCGCCTGTCCCCACCTCTCCCGTGGTTTTTCAAAGAGCTGCCGAGCGAAGCAGCTGATGGACGTGGGAGATCTCTGAGCAGTGAAAGGGAATGCATGCATGAGAAAGACCCGAATCCATAAAAAGAGCCCCAAACCCATAAAAATGAGGACCTGCTTCCGTGAGATTTTATTTGGGCTGTGGCACATCATGCTCTTAAATGTCTTGGGCAATCTCAGTGGGTTTTCCATCAGGTAGGAAGCATTATGGATGGGGAAAAGGTTTGTGGTTGAGCCTGGAGCTATTGCAAATTTGGGTTTCCTCCTTGCCTGTGTTCTTCTTGGGCAGAAGTCCGTCCCGTTGCTTTAGCATGGGTTTATGTAGAATCCCAGGATGTCTCATTTTCCCCTTAACTAAGATCTCATGTACTCCTTTCCCAACAAGTGACCCATTTCCTTGCTCAGGCTGAGAGGTTTCAAGCCCACATACCCTCTGTGTCCCCTTTCTTCCCTCCCAGGGCACCAACATTGCAGCTGGGAAGGCCGTGGGGGTTGTCATTGCGACAGGAGTGTACACCGAGATCGGGAAGATCCGAAACCAGATGGTGGAGACGGAGCCGGAGAAGACCCCCTTGCAGCAGAAGCTGGACGAGTTCAGCCAGCAGCTCTCCAAAGTGATTTTCCTGGTGTGCATTGCCGTCTGGGTCATCAACATCAGCCACTTCAGCGACCCCGTCCACGGCGGCTCCTGGTTTCGGGGTGCCATCTACTATTTCAAGATTTCGGTGGCGCTGGCAGTGGCTGCCATTCCCGAGGGCCTCCCGGCCGTCATCACCACCTGCCTGGCACTGGGCACGCGCCGCATGGCCAAGAAGAACGCCATCGTCCGGAGCCTGCCCTCGGTGGAGACCCTGGGCTGCACCTCCGTCATCTGCTCCGACAAGACCGGCACCCTCACCACCAACCAGATGTCTGTCTGCCGGGTGAGTGCTGGGGGATTTTGGGGTTTGGGGTGCAGGGGGGATGCTCTGTAAGCCCCCAAGCACTCTGCATCCCTCCATCCCCATCCTGGGGTGATGGGCTTTGCTGTCCTCACCACACTTGTTTCATATTAGGAATTGGAAGGTGGGCATGGAAGATGGTTCATAGGAAGCCATGAGCTTCCTCATGCCTGACCAGGGTCGATAAGGTTTAAGGCTTCTCTTGGCATGTTGTAAATCAGAAAATTCACTTTTATGAGTGCACCAGTTTGGAGGTGCTGTGTTGCAGACTTATTTCAGGGCTTCCTCTCCACAGACCATTTCTTCTGGGATGTGGCATTGAGATGGAGCTCCTGGAGAAGCCAGTGCAATCAGCCTCCTCTGCTCTTTTGCCCGTTTTCACCCTGTTTTTAACAAAACCAGCGAGAAATCCTGGACCATGCAGAATTATAAAGCCTGGATTTATGAGGCCAAAACGTGGAGGGTCAGTGCAACTTGGAGGGTCAGCGTGGGTCCAGCTGGCTGTGACCAACTTGTGCAGAAATCCAAGGGTTCAAAGAAGATGCCCGTGACGTGGTGAAACAGTGCTTGGTTACCCGTCCTCGCCTGGTGAACGTCTGCCATCCGAAGTTGTGTGCAGCTGGGCTCGGACCGAAAGCACTTCTGACAGGGGTGGTTTGGTGAAGAGGTCTGGAGGCTCCAGGTCTACCAAAGAGCTTTGCTCCTGCGTGCTTGACCTCATGAGGAGGTGACTTGGTAGGAACGCCTGGACCATCCAAGTATTTCTCAGTTTCCCCATTAATCCTCGTGTCTCAGGAAAGCTTTTTGTTCATGGCTTTGGCGCGTCGGTTTTATGGGAGAACGTTGGAAAATATGTTGCTGTGAGGAAAAATGGACCTGGCCACTGTCCCTCCTCTCTGACACTTGGGTGGCGTGGTGGGAAGCTGTGACCGAGCTGCAAGCTGGCCACAGGCTTTGACCACTGGTTTGCTCAGCACAAACTACTGGAAGCGTCTGATATTTCTGCCCTGTAAATTATTCAAAACGAGGCACAGCTGGAAAGAGGCAGTGACCAAGCTGCCCACGTCTCGCACGAGGACATTTTCTGCCCCATGGATGCAGGGAAGCGAGTAAAGGGCAAGCCCAGCGTTTGGGGTCTCTTTAGCTCTGCAGACTGCAGAAGGAGAGGTAGGACATGATCACGCCTTCCCCAAACCATGTCCTGCTGGAGGATCTGCTCCTTGAACTTGGGCAGAGGTGCCACCATCTCCCGCGGCACGGTGTGGTCGGGAGAGGCAGGATTAGCGATGCTGAGACAGGGAGAGGGCAGGAGGGGGACGAAGCGGGGCAGCAGCACTCATGAAGTTTCTCGCTTCAATCTGCCCTAATTTGGCCCAAGTTAAACTTTGCAAAGCAGCACATTTGGGAAAAAAAAAATTTTTTTCGATTCAAAATTCTGTGTATCCTCCACCCCATTTCCCCACAACCCCCTACTGATATCCGTCTTATTTGCTTGGCTGAATCCTGACTCCCAGGGCATGATGCCGAGAGCCAGGCTGGCCTCAGGACACACAGACACGGCAGTTAACGTTTAACGGCCAGGGATTCCCGCGCTGACGCAGGCAGTGAAGGCTGCACTGTCAAGCGGCGGGTGGGTAAATATTTGCACTGGGCGGCCGTTGGCGTGTCCTGGACGTGCTCCTGTGCTGAGCAGCTGGCTCAGCTCCGGGGGTGCAAAAGCCACGAAAGCCTGTTGATAACGTAGAAAAATGATATATTAACTGGGTGGGATTTAATTAATGCACACCTTTCATAGGGGTGAGCGCAGCTGCTTGGGCACAGGGTATGCTGCTGAGCGGCGTTTGCCCTTTTGTCTTGCTGCTGGCGTTACGTCTGTAGAGCCCTAAAGTGACTCTTGAAAGGCTTCGGGTCTGTTTTAACCCCTCAGCTGGTTTCTAAGGGCTGCGCTGCTGACTCCGGGTCCCGCTCAGTGCCCAGGACTCGTGGCCAGGGTGCCGGCAGAGCCAGCTCAGCAGGATGCTGTGGATGCCATGTGGTCAGCATGGGCAAAGCTGTGCCCCCCAAATACCCGTGGGTGTTAAGTGCCCCCCAAAGGGCTTGTGCCAGGGGACTCGTCCATCTGGGGTGGCCGAGATTTTGGTGTTTCTGCTCTGGCCTCGAGTCTGGAGGTTACAGCTCTGCAATAACGCCACAAACCCACTTAGTAAATCAGATGAAACCTGTGGTTTATGTCACGCACTTCATGGTCAACTGGGGGTCTCCGAGACCACCATCCCACCCAGCCCGCGGTGCACAGCAGACAGCCTTCTCCCAACCGCTAAATAACCGTGGGTGGGAGTGGTGGGAGTCTGGCAGGGGGAGAAGGGGCAGGGAGGCATTGCAGCTCTGCTCGTGCACATTTACATCAGTCTCCTAAAAGTTGCAGCACCCTTTTATGCACCATAACTTAATTTTTCCAGGAGCACAAGGGTGGCATTAAAACATCAGGACCCGAAGCAGGGATGCGAGCGTGGCTGCGTGTGCTCAGGGCTGCTGCTGCATGGGGCAGAGCGGGACGGGGCTGGATGGAAGGGGAGATGCTGATGTCCTGTGTCTGGGAGAGAAAGGTGGCCAGTGGTGTCTGGCTGTCCCTGAGGGGGCTGGTGGTTTGGGGAACAAAGCAGAAAGGGGATGATTAGCAGTAAACCTTGAGCAGAGCCTGGACGTGCAAATTCCCGTCACGGTGCAGCCACCTGGGACCTGTGCAGGTTCTGTTTGCTTTTTAATCTCCAGGACGTTGTGCCTTGATCCAGCAGTTTTGTCTGTCTAAACCGGTCACTAATTAATGGGAGACCTTGCTGAGGGGCTCCCCGGGGCGGTGGCCAAGCTGGGGGCTGTGCCGGGTGCCGGTGGGTGCCTCTCGGCCGGGGCTGCTCCTAGCGCAGGAGGAAAATGATGCTGAGCGTGGGCTGATTGATGGGGAAATGAAGGATGATTACAGCCTCTGACGATTGCAGACAGCCATCCTATCTCGGTTGCCTTTTGACGAGTAGTACTTTTAAAGATATTACAGAAAATACAGAAATGCAGAGACATATCCTTTGTGTCTCTCGTCCCCGTGAGCCTGCAGCCAGATACTCTGTGCTGCTGGGGGGATGGTGCATCCATGAGTGCCCTTTGCTTCCTAAAAATACCTGCTGGCAGCATCCGGCTGTGTGGTACGGCGCTGGGGCCAGGCGAGATCCGCGGGGCAGGAGCCGGGTGTGCTCTTCATAAGCACGTGCTAATATTTTCCTTTCCATCTCTCTGGTATATTAAAACCCTAAAACACCAGCATGGCTTTAGAAGGGTTAAGGGCAGGGGGGTGAGCAGGAGGAAGCCCTGGGGGTGCTGGCTGTGTTCTCCTTGCTGGTGTTCACCGTGGCCATGCATGGGGTCAGGCAGCCCTTCTGTGACATGGACCTCTGACAGCGGGGCCAGAGGAGCCACGGAGATGGTCCGAGGCTGGAGCAGCTCCCGTGCGAGGACAGGCTGAGAGAGTTGGGGGTGTGCAGCCTGGAGA